GACTGCTGCTCTTACATTCACATACTCGTACATACATATTGTACATACATACAATATATTTTCATTATTTATTCATTTATTTAAGTATGTATAACGTTGCAATGATTTATTGTAGTTAATAAAAAATAACTATAATTATGCTTAAGTTTTGCTTGTGCAAATTTAAATGTTGGCCCACCGGCAAATACATACATTTGTATGTACATATGTGAGCATTTATATGTAGATATACATATGTGATTAAAAGCTAACTTATTCGCAAGTAAATGTAAATTATAATCTAATTTTAAAGTAATAATACACACACGCAATGTACAAAAGTAATTAAAAAAAATACTTTAAAAAGCTAAAAAACAAGCAGTAAAAAATTATTTAAAAAAAACTAATTACTTACTTAACATAAGAAAAGTGTTTTTCATTTTGTATTTGTTTGTTTTTTTTTTACAAAAATGTATGGCACTATTACTGTAAATTAACTTCAATTGTTTTTTTTTTAAATTTATCATTATTGTTTTTGCGAATTACTTTGAAGTTTTGCGATGTTCTGTTTTATTTTTATTAATTAAATATAACTTGTTGCTATAACTAACGTTTTATAAGGCATTAAAACAAATTATTTCAGCCGCTTGCGCGCTGCCGAAAAATTTGTGCTTAAAAATTTAATTTTTTTATTTATTTATTTTAAATTTCATGTAACATTTAACTTTGTTATTATAATGAGAATTGTTCATGTTAGAGCTTAACATACATCCATAATTTTAATAACTACGGCAATTATTTGTGTATTCAAATACATACATATACACATTATAAATATTTTGGTTTCACTCTTCAAGTTGAGTTTTTATGGCCGCTTAGAATTCACTGTTTGCGAAAAACGAAAAACATACATACAACTCTATATACAGACATTAAAAATACATAGTGGGAGAGAACACAGTAAAACTAGGCTTAAAACATAGCTTAAAATAAGCGCACATGCACAACGGCAACCCTGCAGGTATGCGTTTCTTGTTGTTTTTTTTTGCAGTACGCATTGTCTTTGGATTTTCTAGCTTTTGTAGTGGCAAGGGTCCAAGGAAAATAATTTCTTATAGGAAAAAACTTCCAAACCTCAAAACCAAATTAAAATTAAATAAACTATGTAACGTACTTAGTCACGTACTTAAATATATTAGATGTTTTTGGCATGCTAAAAGCTTTAATATATAAACTAAAAAAAGAAACAAAAAAATGTGTGAAAAAATTTGCGGTTTTGCCTTTGCTTGTGTGTGTTCGCATTTGGCGCACAAAGGGAGAAACGAAATGTGTTCGTTGTTTAAGAAACCTTTTTTTATGAACTTGAATTGTTTCATTTTTTATGACTCAATATTTTTCTTGCACTGCTTGTAATTGTTTGAATTTCATTTCAATGCCTTTGAAATTTGTATATTGCATTTGGCTGCGGTTGCTATTTTTTGATTTTAAACTATTTAGATTCGTTGTAATTGCATTTCCTGTACTTATTTACTTTGCGTAACTTTTGTGCATAATTTTTGGCATTCAAAAACAAACGGGTAGGTAGTATATAATAAATATATTTGTTTTCTGGGTTACAATGGGTCTAGGGTTGTTGACTGCATTTATGTATGAGTATGTAAAATAAACTTTTGTGTGTGATAAATTGTTTTTGTTTTGGGGTGTTTTACAGTTTTCGAAACTTTTACATAGTTTTCGCAAGTTTCTTATTGTCCATGAATTTTTTACAAGTAACTTTAGTAGCCAAATTTGTTGTTTTTTTTGCGAAATTTTAATTTTTAAGTGCTAACTTTAGCTTTAAATTTTTATGAAAAAAATTTGCTATGTATGGGACTTGAATTTTTTCTTCTTTCGCTTTTTTCTTATTTATGTAGCTATAAATTACACGTTTTACTTTAAGTTAATAAATTTGTATTTTTTGTGTTTGTTTCTTTCCGCCTAAACAACACAACGCCGTATTTTAAAAGCTAAAAGCTAAAACTAAATTTATTTTCCTCTTTCTTTTGCTAGATTAGGTTTATTGCATTTTAGTACATGCAAAGTTTTAAATAATTTTCTTAATAAGGCCAAATCAATGTTCTTTGCTTAAATATTAATATTTGGGTCTCAAATAATTTTATAATTTTTTGTTTATTAATTTTTTGTTTTTTATTTTTTTTTCTTGCTCACAATTAATAAGCGTATCAGACGCTTAAATGCAGGCTGTAACGCGTGCTTGCAACATTTATAAGTTTTCTTGCTTTCCTTCTGTTTACAACTTTTCACTCACTGCTTGCTAGTGGAATGCTCTAGTAGTGATGTGTTTTTTTTGTTAGAATTTTGTTTCTTCCAGGAGTTTTGCGCTTATTAGGCTTAAAATTAAAAAAAAATTACGAATATTTGAGTTTCAAGCGGTGGGTGAATTTTTGTTTTGTTTTTATTAAGCCTAAAAATGAGTTCGGAAAATGCTATACAATAAATAGCAGTATTGAAACTTTTGTTTGTTGTGTAATTGAATAAATAACTTTTCTAATAAATAATATACTATTGCATTGTTTTTTATCATAGTTGTGTAATACAGTTTGTGTGTGTTGAAAATACAGTTAAAAATACTATTTATGCGCTTTTTACTGGTACTGGAAAGAAAATTAAATATTGTAAAGGCGGATCTCCAAAGCATGCGTATACGTCTGCTTTAGCAGAAACATTTAATATATAAATTTCTATGGTAGCACCTACATAGCAACGCATGAAAATGTAAGACAGTTGTATGGATTTTGACTTCTTAGCGTAAATTTCAAAAGCACGCACGTGTTGGAATACGCATGCTATGGACATCCGCCTTAAGCGATATTTGAAAAATTTTATTTTTTTTTAAGTAAGTGGCATTTGTTGTTTGGTAAGAATACTACATACAGTAGTATGCGTTAGTATGGTGAATTTCCTTGTACTCATGTACTGATGCAAAATTGCGGCACTTTTTGTTCTAAAATTAAAAAAACAAAAAAAAAATTGTACTGGAAAATTTTGTAAACTTAAAAAAAATTATTCCCCTCCTGCGCAAGCATTAATTTTTGCAAACTTTTTTAGTACACCTAAAATTTTTCAGAAAAATTAATAAACAATAATTTGGCTCTCTAAATTTTGACGTGATTGCTAAAATACCCAGCCCTACTTTTTTCCTACTGTCTGAAGAACTTTCTATCAATTCGATTGCTTGAGTTCCTTCAATTTTAACGCAAAATTCAAAATTTTGCGCGAAAATTTGGTTTGAGTAACAACTAAAAATAAAACACCAAAATTAGTTAAAACGTAAAATACTTCTTTTCTCCATTAATTTAAACTTAAAAATAATAATAATAATAATAATTAAATGCTTAAACTGAAACGTAATTTCGAAACGAGTATTCATGTGGTACTGGCTAGCGAGGTTGCCAGTGAATATAAGAAAATTTACAAAAAAAAACCAGAAAGTGGAAGAACTTATTTTATGCTCTGAAAAAGTTGAAACTAAAAAATTAATCATAACAATAAAGGGCTCATTCAAACACTACAAAAGTTTACAATAAAATTAAAAAATAATAATTAACGATCCTAATAAATTCGTTACAACGAAAGGTTTTTAAATTGCTTAAAGAAGTTGAATAGTAACGATTCTTAATTTAGGAATCCGAAAATGACCGGCAGAAATATGTATGTACATATATGTTCTTTACAAAAGCAGTTATCATTCGATTACACATTTTTTTTTGTTATTAAAAAATATGTACGCGTATAATCGCAACGAGCTTCTGTGCCTGCACAAAATTATTTAAAATGATATTTTTTAAACTTTTCGAAACTCTATTTTAAATCAAATACAGTTTGTATAAAAAATAAAGTAAACAATACTCGCTTGATTGTTGAATCACTACATACATACATATATATGCACTATGTAATTTCGAAAATGCAATGAAAATTATTCAGCTAAACATTAATTAAATTCGATCTTAAGTACGCGCTTAAGTGAGGAATTCCCTTTTGTGTCTTATAAATTCATATTGACTGGTTTTCTTTGCAGAAAAAATTATTCGAATTTGCCTGCGCTTACAAAGCTTTGCATATTTTTTTAACGATCGCTGACTAAGTTTATTTTTGTTATTCAGCTGGATAATATTTCCATTCAGCTAAGCGTCCTATAGACATTGAGAGCACTGCGTGTGCTACCAGCGTATTCAGCTGTAGCTATAATGATTCAGCCACATTTCGTTTGCCGTTCACACTAACTCAGCCACATTTGGTCGTCTATTCAGCTACTACATTGACCATCAATTCAGCAGACCCATTTTATTGTTGAAAAAATCAAAATATGGCTGGCGTTGATTTGTATGTGTGGGCGGCATTGTTTGCATCGATGGCGGACAACTGAAGCGCGGCGGCGGCGGCAGCGGCATCAGTCCTGTGTCCCCAATATGGTTAGCCTGTTGATGATATAACGGCGCATCGCCAATATTCAGATGCGGCATGTTGTGAGCGCCATGCAAGAGTGGCGGCGGTGGCAACGAAGGCACCGCCGGTGAACGATGATGTTGTTGCTGTTGTTGCTGGTGCTGCTGCTGCTGTTGAAATTGCTGATTGAGTGATGGCGGCAAGATGGCACCCATTCCACCACCGTTCAACGGTGGCCAAGCCATATGCGGCGGTGGCGGCGGCGGCGGTGGTGGCGGCAACAAGTGTTGCGCCTGCAAGCGTTGGTGAAATTCATTTTGTTGTTGTTGCTGTTGTTGTTGATGCTGCAGCTGCTGGTGGCGCTGCTGATGACGTTGCTGAAAGGCTGCGGCCGCCATTGCAGCTGCCGCTGTTTGTTGCTGGTATAACGTGCCATTAGCGTGACTGGCGAATTTTTTGCGAAACTCAACGATATTCAGCAAATTTCTCGAAGCGGCCGCGGAATTTCGTCTATGCGTTGCTTTACTGGCATTCGAAGGCGTTGTTGTCGATTTTGTAGAGGCGGATGTTGGATGCGCTGAATTGTCGTTTACCTATTCCCTGTAGGGTTTGCAATACGAATAACGGTGATTCATATGCTGACTATAGGAACCGGAATGGGAGAATCGTTTGAGGCACTTGGTGCATTGAAATGGCTTTTCGCCACTATGCAGCCGCTTATGTTCTGTCAGATGATGTTTATGCTTGAAAGCCTTCGGACACTCCATGCACTGGTAGGGGCGTTGACCTGTTGAAGAGATGAAAAAATTTAGCGGTCAGTATAACGGCAATAACTTCGTACTATGTACTCTTAAGGGGCGCAAGTTGGCGCGCTCATGCTCACCGGAATGCTCGTACTTGTGTCTCGCCAGCGAGCTTTGTTTGGCGAACGCTTTGTCGCACTGATCACACACAAAGGGCAAGTCCGGGTCACCGGCATGTCCGTGCGTTTCTGCTTTGGGTCGCTTCGGTTTCGGCAACAAGCCGCTGGAAATGTAGTCGTCGTCGTGTGAGATGCGCGAATCATCATCGCGCCAAGAGCGCTTCTCTGAACCACCTGGGCTAAGGCTGGTGCCGCGATAGTCGGGGAATTTAATACTGTTGATCAGCGGATTGCACGCATACTCGCCGGGTGTCATGCGAAAAATAGCCTCCATTGGCATTAGGTTGCGCTGGGCGCCGGTAGGCAGCATATATGGTGGCAGATGACCGGCGAGCGAGGCTGAGAAACCGTTATTGTTGTTGTTGTTACCGTTGCGCGTTGTAAGCGGTTGCTGCTGTGGCAGCGATGGCGCTTCACTGGGCGAAGGCGTTTGTCGTTGGAAGTGTCGATTTGGATGCGGTGCGCCAAAATAGAATGCCGCTTGCTGTTGTTTGATCGACTGAGGCACAGAGGTGGCGGAAGATGGAGACAGCGAAGAGGGTGGCGACATCGAAGCAGACAATTTACGACTCAAGTTAATGGCTTCGTTGAGATCACAGCCGTTGACGTTTTGCATTGGTGCAATGCCGTATAGCGGTGAATGTTGTTGTTGCACACCATTGCGCTTCGCCGAAATGGGCCAATCGCGCTTCAGCGACAAATCCAATGGCTGTTCTTCGCCGGTGCGGCCGCTGACTGGCACTGAAGCGCGCTCCAGCGCTGCAACAGCCGCATCAGCTGCAGGCAAAGGGAAAGGTAATTTGCCATTAGCTTGCTGATAGCTTTGCAGCTTACGCTCACGTGAACGATTGTTCTGAAACCAGACTTGTACGACGCGCGCATCCAGCTGCAGACGCGCGGCTATTATGCGGAACTCTTCGCGGCTGGGGCGCGCATTGATGGCGTAGTGTTGCTTCAGCTGCTGTTGTTGTTCTTCAGTGATGGCAGTGCGTACACGTACCTTACGCTCGCTACTTTCGCTGTTACAATCATTGCGGGAAGAAGAATCGCGTTCATCCTGATAGTCCTCGGCGTCGCTGGAATGCAATAGAGAAGTGATTGATGTGCCTGACTGTTCGGCAGCGTCATCCGAACTATGCTGTGGTGGTCTAAGTGCCTGTGGCTGTTTCAGTTCCTCTTCAACTTGCGGCTGTGGCTGACGCTCTGGCTGCGGCTCTTCGTAGTGCTGCTGCATCTCTTGCTTGATGTAACCGCAGAGCACCTTTTCGTGTTGCACGAGCTCGGTTTGATGATTAAATTGCGTATCGCAACGTCCACAGCGTAGCTCGGGCGGGCTGGCTATACTCAAATCGGCATTCGTGACCTTCTCTACTTTGTTGGTAGGCGTAGACGTTTCCATTGGTCGTGATTGCTCAATATCGGCGGTATTGTCTAACTCTTGTTTAATCGCAGGCTCTGGAGAATCGTTTTCTGCCTGTTGGGCTTGTTCCTCCTCTGCTGGAGTGGCAGGACTACTCTGTTCTAACTTGATCGGTGGCACTGTCTCTTGCTCAACAGACTCTGCTGTGGCAGATTCCTCTAAAATGGAATCATTCTGTATGTTTTCTGCCTCCTTTGGCGACTCTGCGCGATCTTCT